GTACAAAATCCTTGACCAATCTTCCATCCATATTTCTTAATTTATAATTTTTGCCTTGTACATTATGTACAAAATATGGTCCCATCCAACGTTCCTCTAATTTAGCTGAGAAATTATTTTTCAACCATGTGCGTTCCACTAATACTTTATCTCCAATTTTAAATTGTTCAGCTGTTGCACTAATATCATGTCGATCCTTCTGTTTTCGTTGGTCCTCCTTAATTTGATTTAGTGCAATTTGTCGATCATCTTCCAATTGATTGATTATCTTAAATAATCTTTCCATTAATGCATCCTTAATATTTTTATCGTTACTCAATTCTGTTGGAATTTTTAATTCAATAGGTAATGTTGCTTGTCGTCCATATAAAAGGTAAAATGGTGTATAGCCAGTTGTATTATGTTTCATTGTCCTATAAGCAAATAAAACTGACTCTACATATTCGTCCCATTCCTTTTCTTTATCTGCAATCAATTTGGCTAAGCATTCACCAATTGTACGATTGAATCTTTCAACCATACCATTTGTTTGAGATCTGTATGCAGAAGTAAGCCGGTGTTTTGTTTGAAATTTTTCACAAAGTGTGTTCACAACTTTATTTAGAAAAGAAGTACCCCTATCAGATAGAAGTTCTTCTGGAACACCGTGTCTACAAATGATTTCATCAAATATAAATTTTGCAACAGTTTCAGATTTGATGTCAGGTATTGGCTTTGCTTCAGGCCATTTTGTAAAATAATCCATAGCAACGATTATGTAACGATTTCCTGGTGAAGTCCTTGGCAGAGGTCCTTTTATATCGATTCCAACTCTGTGGAAAGGTGCTTTAACTTTGATTGGTTGTAAAGGTTCTTTTCTTTTTGATGATCTGCGTTTTTGACAATTATCGCATTGTTGGATGTATTTTCTAACATCTTCGTACATTTGTGGCCAGTAATATCGCTCTTTTGTTTTTTCAAAGGTAGCATCAGATCCAAGGTGAGCTCCTGTCATATCTTTATGAAGATTATAAAGAATAATTTCTACTTGTTCGCGCAGAATTACTCTTTTATCTCCATCCTTAGATCGTTTATGTAATAAGTTATTTTTCATCATGTATTGGGTTGAAATCTTTTGTAATTTAATCTGTTGAGAGTCGTCCAAGTTAAAGGGATGTGTAAGGGTTGTGAGGTATTGTGTCAAATCTTCATACAATTTATTATCCATTATTAAATATGTTAAATGATGAAGATGATGACATAATTGTATTGATTGGGTTGTAACTATGAGGGTTGATCCGTGATAAGGCATCAGCATTTTTGTGATTCTTTCCTTTCCTATATTTCACTTCATATTTGTATTCCTGTAAGGTAAGTCTCCATCTCATTATTCGCTTATTTTCAGTGACTTTTGAATCTGAATTTAACAACCATTGTAATGCAGAATGATCTGTAACAATTGTGAATTTACTTCCAAATATATAATGTTTAAAGTATTTTACTGCCCATACTATTGCTAAACATTCTTGTTCAGTTGTGCTATAATTCTTTTCAGCTGGATTTAGAGATCTACTTGCATATACGATAACATGTTCTTTTCCATCATTTCCTATTTAGGATAGTACAGCTCCTAATCCGATTTGAGATGCATCGGTATATAGAGTGAATGGTTGATCAAAATCAGGATAGATAAGGATTGGTGCTGTTGTTAATTTTTCTTTTAGTATGTCAAATATTCGTTGTCGTTCATCTGACCATTGATAGGGAGTTTCCTTTTCAGTTAATTTATATAATGGAGCTGAGATTTTTGAAAAATCTTTGATAAATCTTAGTTCAGTAAGATTTCTTGGAATTGGATATTTAGAAACTTTCTCAATTTTTGATGAGTCAGGTTGTATTCCTTGCTCATTAACAACATGTCCTAAGAATTTGATTTCCTGAGAACAGAAATGACATTTGTCAGGTTTTATCCTTAAGTTTGCAGTTCTAATTCTGTCAAATGTAATTTGTAGATATTGTAGATGTTCCTCAAATGTTCTGGAATGGATATTAAGATCATCCATATATACTTTGATGAAATGACGTTTCTCCTTTTGAAATATTGTATCCATAGTACGCTGGAAAGTAGCAGGTGCATTGCACAATCCAAAGGGCATTACGACAAATTCATACAGACCTTCACTGGTGATGAAAGCTGTTTTTTCAACATCTTCTGGTCTTATTTTAATTTGCCAAAATCCTGAGAACAAATCTAGTGAATTGAACCAACGTGATCCTTATAATGAATCCAATAATTCATCAATCCTAGGGAGAGGGTAATTATCCTTTTTGGTAATGCTGTTAAGATCCTTATAATTTACACACATTCTCATTTGGCCATTTTTCTTTTTAACTAAAACTATTGGTGCTGACCAAGGGCTACTAGATGGTTGTATTACTCCTTGTTGTATCATTTCCTCAATTTCAGCAGCGATCCATTCTTTCTCTTTTGGTGATGTTGAATAAGCTCTCTTTTTTATTGGATGAACATTTTCAGTAATAATAGAATGTTGAGCAACATTTGTTTGAGTTAATTCAGATTTGTCATTAGCGAAGAGATCTTTGTTTTTAGTGAGTAGTTGTTGAAGTTGCGTCCTTTGTACATTCGTTAGACTTCCAATTGGTGCATCTTTTCCTTTTGTTATTTCTATTAATTCGTCATCTTCCTCTATTTGGGCTTTAGCAACTCGATAATCTTCAAGATCTTCATATAATTTATGACAAAATGAACACTTTTCATTATTTTGCAATGGTTTACAAAGGCATCGTCCTGGTCCCTTCCAATATTTATCAGTTCTCTGAAATTCAAGACCGCTAAATTCCAAAAATTCAGTTGGATATCGTTGATGATTAATGATTGCTATATTTTCTTCTAAAGATACATTTAGATAATGCTGAGGTTCTCCTTCTATATCCTCAAGTTCTAATTCGTCATATTCTTCCTCAAAGAAATCTATTGGTGATAGAATTTCAGGATTTATTTTTGTAAAGCAGGTAATTGGAACAGTATCAATTTCTTTATTTTGCTTTATTATCATGATTTGTTTCTCAGTATTGATAATTGCTTTTGCTTGGTTAGTGATCCAATCATTTCCAAGTAGAACATTATATCCTGATGCTTCTGTTACAATCATATCTTCTTTAATTTCAAATTTTCCTATTTTAACGCCAACTTTGAACATTTTTCCTAATGGTGCAGTTTTCGCTCCAGTAACACTAACAATTTGGATATTGGTAGAAGCTTCTATTTTTTGTTTACTGAATCTAGAAAACTTTTAGTGATGATGCATCCAACAGCTCCTGTATAGATCATCACATTAATCCTTTTTCCAAAAACTTCGGCTTCAGCAAAATAAGCGTCCTGTGGTTTTCGTTCTACCCATTGAGCTTGAGCGATAGTTGTTGATACTTTTAAGCTTTCCAAGATTTTCTGCATATATTTAATATGTGTTGGTGTTATCTCGTTTCTTTTACATTTATCCTCATATTATTTGAAGGTATTAAGGATCCATGAGCTTTGTTTATTGGGCTCAGTATTTCTAAGTGTAGTATTCATGCTTACTTTGGTAATATATACATCACAGTTGAATTTGGGATCATTGAAGATAAGTTGTGGAATATTCTTTTTGATAATTAGTCCTGTTTCTTCTTCTGTTTCTCTTATAACTGCTTTGATAGAATATTCATTTTCTTCTACTTTTCCTCCTGGTACTTGCCAAAGATTATACATTTCCTTATTTTTATCGATTCTTTTTGAAAGGAATATTCCAGCATCATTATAAACTACATTCATCACAAAGGTTGGAGTTTTTGATTCCCTAGTTAACTGAAATATATTGATGGAATCATTTGATGGGCATTTATGATTGTTATGATTTACCCATTTGTGGCATCTTGAGCAAAGTGTGAGAAGACAATCTTGTCGATGATGATCTTTCTTTCGACATTTATAACAAAACATTCCAAGATCTCCATTTTTAGCACGTTATTTTAGAATCTGTTGTAGCTCCTGATTCTTTTTCTTTGTGATCATGTGACTATGATGGTTAACATCATCAAAATTACAAATCAAACAAGGTGTGTCATTTCCTTGGAAAATATGCCAATATTCTATAAATTCATTATTTTTAAAAGGTTTGCTGATATATTCTTGATTTTCTTCATATTCGAAATCATTTTTATGAAATTCTCTAACATATTCTAGTGGGTTGTTCCATGTAACTTGTTTTTCTAGAGGATTTAATTCATCCGCACTCTCACCTCTTGAAGGTGCGTTTATTAGTTTAAATGATTAACTGAAGAATTGAACTGTTGATTTCTTCCTGAGGAAGACTGTCTGTAATTTTGTTGATTATTCCAATTTCTATTATTGTTATTTGGATTGTTACTGTTATAATTATTATTCTGGTTTTGATTATTTTGATTATTATTATTATTTTGGTGATTGTTATTTTGGTTTGCTCGACAATCTTTCGCCATATGTCCAGGCTTGTTACAATTAAAACATGTCCTTGCATTGTTATTATTGTTGTTATTATAATTACTACTATAATTATTATTACTATTATTAGTGTAATTATTATTGTTGTTCCTTTGCCTACAATCTCTAGCAATATGTCCTATTCGATTACAGTTACGACATATTCTGATGTCTCGATTATTGTTGTTATTTCTGTTATTATTATTATTGTTGTTATTATTATTATTTGAAGAATTATTTTGATTTACTCCTAATTTTCGTATAAGTTGCTCCAATTTTCGATCAATAATTTCTTCAACAGATTCAGATGTATTATTTCTAAAAGCATTAGTTGGAATAACAGGTTGGTAAGTTGCAAGACTTGTTCTGGCTGGCATAAATCCTCCGTGTAGATTTCTCAAGTAATCTGGTATTAAGGAATATGCAGACAATTCCATTCCCATTGAGTATGCAGTTTCTAATGCTAGTGCTTTGTTAATAGCTTCTTCTATATTTTTAGGCATAGATAATTGTACTGGAACTATGAATTCAGGTCGCAATCCTTCAATGAATTCAGCAATTTTATCAGCATTCGTTCGATTGTTATATGGATCAATTCTTTTCCATAGTTCTGTAATTTCAGCTACATATTCGTCAATGGTTTCTCCATTTCTTTGTTTCAAATTTTGTAATTGATGTTTCCATTGTTGTTTCCTGAAGATATTATAGTAATGTTCTCGAAATAATCGAACAAAGGATTGGGTTGGAACAAGACTTCTCCAACGGCGAGCTCCACTTTAATTAAACCAAGTTAACGCTGTTCCTTTTAGATATAATAGTAAAATGTCTAGCATTCTTTCCTCAGCAACTCTATTTGCAGCACATGCTCTTTCAAATCCTTCTAACCATTCTATTGGATCTTGATTACCTCCTTTGAAAGTTGGAAAGTCAACAAGTCGAGTTTCCTTTGGGATTGGTGTTCCAGTAGAACCTGTATGTGCATTTAGTATATTAGTGAATCCTAGTAATAGTTGGTTGAGCAATTCATTGCCAGTATCTGGAGGAGGAGGATTATTTCTTCTTCTTTCATCTTCTACATTTTCTCTTCTTCAGTGTGCTAATTCTTCATGGATTCCTAATCTATTTCCAGAGTAATTTTTGACTGCTTTATCTGATCTTTCTGATACATTAAATACAGATCTTTCATCATCATCACCATCATCATATGTTCTTTGATAAGATGTTGGGAATTTTCGTAATGTATCTAATGAATCTGGTATGTTATTATTATTACTATTACCAGGTATATTGCTTTCATAATTATTGCCAGTTATATAATCCTGACTATCCTTTTTATTAGAAAGCATATGATATCTGAGATGGGCTGCTTCAACTATAGTAGGTTCGTAATTCATTTTAAAGAGCCTACTATTATTTGTAAGATATGTTAATATTTTTATTCTTTCCTCTAAATTTATCGCATCCTCATAATGGGTTATGAATTCTGTGTCATCATGAACTTTATAAATAAGTTCAGCCCATTTCAAATCACTTTCTGAGGGATCACGGAAAGGATCATAACTACTACTATTTTTTGGTGGTGAATTCTGATCATGAGAAGATGTATCGACCAATATACCATCGTTATTTCTAATCATTTTTGATGCTTTTGAACTTCTTCTTGAACTTTTCCTTGATGCTAATCTTGAATTAGTTCCTGATTTTATTGATGTTTCAATTTCCCAGTTGTCAGTTTCCAAGTAATTACTCCACTCGTTTTCTAATATATTTAGTAAGTTTTCAAAGGATTCTTGTGCAAGTTCGTGATATCTTATGGAGGTTATAATTAATTTAAAACACTGATTTAATACTATAGAATTATCTTTGTTTTCTCTTGCTTTATCAAAAGCCTTTTCAGTAATACTAGTATATGAGTCTCCTTTTAATGAATAAACTGCCCAGAAATACCAAAATTTTCCAAATTCTTCCGAAGGTTGTTCTGTTATCGGATAGCAATGGATACAAGATGGATCTGGATTCTCTTTTAATACTTGATTATTTCCTTGTAAGTGTGCTTCGTTATGTTTGATTATTCTCTGATAATACTTTAATCAATTAAACATGTACTATTTTTCACTTAAAAATTCAAGAATTTCGTTGATTGTAATTTTTAACTTGTGAAATCTTATAAAATCTTTAATTCCGTTTACTTTCTTTTGAATTCTTTGGATGGTTGCAAATGTTACAACGTCTTCTCTTTTGGCTGTTTCTAAAAGATTGTTGAGTACCCTTATTTGTAATTCTAATTGAAGTCCTTGAGGTGTGTATAATGGTCTGAGTTTGACTTTAACGTTTGACATTAACTTTTACTAAAATCTCAATTTTAATTCCTAATAAATCCACTTAATTTTGTTGAGTGTCCACCCAACCCGCACCAAATTTGTTATACGGGTCGATTACGAAGTCTACTGACTGAAAAATAGACTTCAACACGTATAGCAAGGTTTTAGGTATCTGAAGGATAATGATTTAATTTTAATAACTTTAAGAACTTGTTCGCGTTAATAAAACTATTGAATTAACAATATATCAATTTATAAGTACAGGGAAT